GTAATTGAGGATTCCCCTGTCAGGCTGGAATTGAGAATGCGCTTTGGCCCAAACATAGGCTCTCCCTCTCAGCTCCAATCAATCCTTGTACAGAATTCCCCAGGGAGATTTTTTAACATGCTGGTTTTTCAGAACCGCCCCCCTCCACTCCTCCTTCCTTTTCCCCCTCCCCTCTCCCGCCTTTCTGATTCAGTGGCTGGATAATCCGCCCTTTGTTGGCTCCTAGGAGATGATGATGGTTAGAGGGTCCAGGGACTCCCTGTTCCAGGGTTTACCTAGCCGTGTGGGGTTGGCACACTCAGAAAGCCAAAGGCAAAGGAGGCCATCTTTTAGATTTCAAATGGAAGCCAATTACATTTCATTATTAAGTAGCCATGTCTATTATAATTGAAAATAATAACAATATGGCCACTGACACTGTATGAGGGAAATTAGAGATTTCGCACTGTACTCATTTAATATTGTAGCAGGACATTCATGTTCTAAGTGAATCTGAGATCAACAAGCTAGTCTCCTGGTCACATATGGGGTGTCTTTGGGTTGGTGTTTAAGCTTTCTTCTCCATTGCAGCCCTCCTCTGAGGCAGGATTGAGGTGGGCACTGGGGATGGGGTGACACGTATTTTTTGCATATTATTTACTACTAAAGACAGCGGAACGTTGAATGGTCTGTCATTGACTGTCCGCGCATCGTAGCCACCATCCCCATCCCATAGGAGGCTCCTTAAGGACGAGTCTGTGGCTGATCCCCTGGGTCTGCCTCTCGCTCTCAGGGACGCCACTCCCTGACCTTCCTCAGAGGTGGCAATGGCTGTTTCTATACAGGAGTCCTCACCAACCACAGTGTTGCCAGTTAGGGATGGGCAGGGATTCCACCCCATTCTGGGTGAAGGATTGTTCTGTTTAGACCCAAGGGGGATCTTTTTGTGTTTTTCTCAGGAAGGTGCAGAAGCCATGGAAGCCTGTCTGCTTTTGGCTGGAATTCAGTCAACTCAGCACTGACACTCTGGGAAGCACATACTCATGAGAAACTCTGACTGGCCGCTACTGACATCACAGGGCTCTCTAGGCTGTGATTGGTGGACCGGATCCTGTCCCGAGGACACCCGCTGGTAAGTAGTCATTGTAGCCAAATTAAAACACTGTATCCTTGGCATTTTGGGTTTCAAATGTCCAGTTTTGCCTCTTTGGAAGCAACCTCAAAGTTCTATGTCATAGAGCAATTTGCAGTTGTGCTGAGCGCAGGAAGGAGTCTTTGGCTAGTTTGTGAACCAAGCTGTCTACACCGCATATCTGTTCTGTGCTCCTCAGTAACCTGAGCATCTTATGGGGAAGGGCAGGCCATGTGGACTTAGCAGTGTGCCAGGGTGGTTCTGACCATTGCACAGACCAGTTAGGTATGTGGTGGGAATTGTACAAAACCTCCTGTAACTTGAAAGCCCCACTGAGGGCCTGCCCCCAGTTCACTGGCTTGGTCCTTGACCCTGGCTTTTCAAGACTCAACCCCGTCCCTGAGCCCCCCAAGAGCCAGCCTGACTGCCTTGAGGCGCACCGTGATTATCCGTGAGGGTGAAGTTGCTGTCCTCAGTGCTCAGGGAAAACTTGAACTTCACATCTCGTGGTGTTATATCCTTGTCTATTGCCGAGATTTGCACGACCAGCTAGAGGGTGGAAGATGGGGGCCGGTCATTAGCGGTGTTGGGTTGGCCGGGGTTTCAGTGATGGGGAGGGACTTTGGGTTTAGACCTGACCGTGGCTGCCTCTCACCTGTAACACTAACCTAAATGGTCTCCACAGAGCCACTCTTTCTACCACCACCTCCCCGCCAATCTACTCACTACACATTCTGTCTGAGCCTCAGTTTCACCCCCTGTGGGGATAATGTCACCTTTCCTCAAGGCTGTTGTACAAGTTACATTAAACTTAGTGAAATGCCGGCTGACCGTGGCTGGGAGGTGCTGCCCCTCGGCCTGCCCCAGGCGGACGCTGCCTTACCCTCCCACCTGAGTTAGACTCACCTTGCCCTGGGCAGCGTTCTCACACACTTTGGGCTCGTAGGGCTTGGCAAACTCTGGGGCATTGTCGTTCTCATCCAAAACTTCGATGTGGACCTGCACGATGGATTCTTTGCCCGTGGGGGTCCCTGCAGGGGAAAGGACTCATCACTACAGTGCGTTCAGCAGGTACCAGCCCTGGGATTAGAATGTGTATGGATGGGAGTCCTGGAGGGGTGCTCTTTTTGCAGGAAGAGGGGGTTATGGACATCTGGAAGGGAGGCCAGGGATGGCCTTCTGGTCGAAGGGAGTGGAAGAGGAAGGGGGTAAAGCTTCAAGCACAAGGATATTTGCTAAAGAATTAGTTGTAAGAATTGAAAAGGTGAACAACAGAAGTGTATTTTTAAAGGTTTTAATTAAATCAATTAAGTAATTATTAAATCAATTCAGCAATTTAAGCAATCAAACTAATTTAAATAAATTAATTATGAAATAATTGAAAAGGTAAACCATCTAAGTGAGATTGCATTAATAAATTACGTCAGTTTAAAAGAATGGACTATGTGGCTGTTTGCAATGCCCGGGTAAATTACATTTTAAAAATTACAGTCTTTTCAAAAAAGATATTTTAGTACCATGAGAAGATGATTCTGGAATAAGGTTAAGTAAAAATGCAGGATATGATATTTATACAAGCATTATGATCTCACTTGTATAAAAATACATATCGTAAAAAGACCAGAGGAAATACACTACAGTGCTAACAGTAATTATCTGTGTACGGTGGGAATATGAGGGTATAATTTTCTTCTCCTTTTTTGTATTTTCCGTATTTTAAAATGGGCAGCAAACTATTACTATAAGATTTAAAAATTGTATGAATGAGATTAGATGGGGAAGAAAGGGGCAAAGACTGATCTGGACAGTACGCAGGAGTCCATTGAAGCTGACCTGGCTGCCAGGTGGGGCACGTGCTGCCAGCAGGAAGCAGGGGCCCTTCAGGGTAGCACCGGTGGGGCCCTGGCCAAGTCACCCCCTTTCTGGGCCCTTGTGGCCTCTGTGTGAGGTGGGAATATTGATCCTTCTCCCAGAGGACAGTTGTGATTTTCTCATAGAGGCTAAGGGTAAGTTCTGGAGAATCTCACAGTCTTGGAGTTGGAAACTGCTTCAGATTTTGAATTCAGCCCACTGACTGGCCCATAAACACCCTCCAAAGCAGCCTTTTCCAAACGACCACTATAATAAGAATCACACGGCGCTCGTTCAGTGCACACTCCTTGGCCCCATTTCTGACGCACTGGACCAAAACCTCCAGGGAGGCATCTGAGAAGCTCTGTGGTTTAGAGGTGCCTCAGGTGATTCTCATCACAGGGACATCTGGCAGCCTGTTTTTGGAACAGCGCTTCTTAAACTGTAGTGTGCGTGAGATTCTGATGCAGTCTGGGGTTGGGGCCTGATGTTTTGCTTGTCTAACAAAGTCTCAGATGACGTGGATGCAGCTGGTCCATCCACACTTGGGGATGGAGGCGCTATAGCATCCCAACCAAGTGGTGCATCAGCAGGTGCTTATAGGACCTCTGGAGACCCTAAATGATAGATGTTGACGATTTGAAAAGGAGAGGAGCCCAGGTCCCCTGGCAAATGGGGCCACTCACCACTAGAATCCAGCTCTTTGGCCTCCACTGTCAGGTTACACCAGGGGTAGACTTCTCTGTCCAGCTCCTTCTCATTGTAAATATTCCCCTGCTTGGTTATTCCGAAGAACTGGCCCTTGTCACTTGTCCTGCGGATGGAGTATCTGCCCACGGGAGAGAGTTTCAAGGTTTTCCGTTGTTCTTTGCTGAGTCCAAACTCCCCAGCAGGACAGATGAGACCCTTCAGGATCTGTCCCTTGCATCCATCCCCCATCTTCCTCTCACTGCTCATTGCACTTGACCACCCAGAGGGAGTCAGAGTAGTGAGATAATCCCTTTGAGGTTGGCAGTGTTGCCATCACTGGGCTGAGGGTGGTACCTGAGACTCCATCAACAGCACTTTCACAGTTGAGGCAGGTGGCACTGTAATCAACTGTACCACAGCTTGGATCGGATTTTGTGATTAATGAAAAGATAGTTGGGCAAGAGCCAGGAAGAAATAAAAAAAGGGGCTGGAAGAGGTACGAAGTGATTGAAAGGAAATTAAATTTGTGAAGTAAAAATTGGAAAAGTTCTTAAGGAAAAAGGCATGAAGAGAAGAAAAGAGAGATGAAAATATATAACGTTCCAAATATATTTCTCTAATACTGAGGAAAATTCCAGAACAAAGAGAACAGAAGAAATAACAAAAGATATAATAGAAGAAAACTTCCTGATCTGAAGCAAGGCCCAAGTTTATAGAAGAGTCATTGATATCAGGCGTAATTTTAAAAAGAGATCAATATTTAGCTATATCCTGATGACACTTTTGAATTTCAGAGCTATATAAAGAAACCAAAAAGAGTCCAGACAGAAAAGATATGTCGTTATAAAGAAAGAGAAATCAGACTCACCCCAGACATTCTCACAAAGTTAAATGCTAGGACACATTGATAATATTTTTGATTTGTAAATATGCAAGGATTCAGGAAGTGTATCATCCACAAGATGGGTCCTGAAAAAATTTTTTTGAAAACTCACTTCATCTAACAAGTGTCTCAAAATAAAGTAAAAAAAAAATCTGGTTTGGGAGGAATTAAAATTAAACTATTGATATCTTTATCATATATAGGAAGGCAGTGGTGTGTGTGTGTGTGTGTGTGTGTGTGTGTGTGTGTGAGAGAGAGAGAGAGAGACAGAGACAGAGACAGAGACAGAGACAGACAGAGAGACAGAGATTTTTAACTAGAAAATATTGGTCCAGGAAAACATTTAAAATTTTACAGATAGAAGTAAATCTCACTGGTAGAAGTAAAAACGCATGTACTCCATCCAAATATCTACGAGAAAATAACATGAAAAAATAGACTCTACAACAAAGATGGGGGAAGAGAAAAAAGTAATTAAGTTTGAGAAATAGCAAATGTAAAACAAGATAAAAGAAGTAAGATCAAACATATCATTTACAATGAAAAATGTAAATAGGTTAAACACAAAGCATCTCAGTTTAGATTAAAAAGCAAAGCCATGAGGACACGGAGGGGAAGGGGAAGCTGGGATGAAGAGAGAGTAGTATGGACATATATACACTACCAAATGTAAAATGGATGGCTAGTGGGAAGCTGCTGCATAGCACAGGGAGATCAGCTCGGTGCTTTGTGATGACCTAGAGGGGTGGGATAGGCGGGGTGGGAGGGAGGCTCAAGAGGGAGGGGATATAAGGATATATGTATACATATAGCTGATTCACTTTGTTGTACAGCAGAAACTAACACAACATTGTAAAGCAATTATACTCCAGTAAAGATGGGAAAAAAAAAAAAAGCAAAGCCAATTACATTCCAGTTTCAAGAGACAACTTACTGCCCATGACCTAGAAAAGATTAAAAGTAAAGGTTGGAAAATTTATTTCAGGCAAACATGAGTAACATGAAAACAGGACAAACTTTACATCAGGCAACATGGAATTGAGGACAAAATGTCATAAGGATGAAAGTGACAAGTCATAATGAAGGTAAAATAGTTACAAACCTTTGTTAACTGAATAGAAAAATTAAAATACATAAAGCAAAAGCTTAGATACTCCAGAAAAAAAATGGACAGAAAGACACACAAAGACAATTACATCACAGAACAAGTTAAAGCAAAGCCAAAAAATGCCCTACCAATTGTAAGTGAAAAAAAGTCTCTTAAATAAACCATTGGATCAATGAAGAAATAAAAATTATCATTATAGACCATTTAGAATAGAATGGCCATGAAAACAGTTGTCCTAAAACTTATGAGATGTGATCAAAATGGAGGTACACATTTGTCTTTAACAGGAAGACCTGATAACAGAGAAACATTAACTCCCCCCAAATTGATATATAAACACAATTCTCATTAGAATTCTGATGCTTTTTTAAAAACGGAAGAATTTTATGGTTCACATGGAAGAATGAATGTTTGAGAATGCATTAAAGCTATATAAAGTGAAAAAACACTTGAGGGAGGGACTTGCCGTATACATACCAAGTTTTAGTATCAAGCTGCTACAATAAAACAGAATGGCTTTGCCACAGAACATAGGATTCAGAAGTAGATTCAGGGATATACAGGAGCTTGGAACTACATCTTTTGTCACAGAGGGTAGAGGAGAGGAGTCTAGTTCAGATAGAAGAACAAGTAGTGATGAAATGGGTATAGTGTGATCCAAAAAAATTTTAAAACAATCAAATCCCCCAAACAAACAAAGGACAAATCCACCATAAATGTATGTAGATGTTTGTGTGGTCACGAAGAAAGGCATGATAGGACCACAGCACACCATGAACGTGAGTTGTCTGGAAATCAGGGTTATGATGTTTTCTTTATAGATCCTTGTGTTGTTTGATTGTGTGAAATAAACACTTTTTCCTTTTGTGGTTTTGGGAAGACAAATGTGATAAATCATGTTTCGCGAAGGGGTTTCACGGATGTCAAGTTGGCTGCTCTCTTGACTGTCGCATCTCCCCAGACGGGACCTGTGGGAGCCCGTACCTTCCCTTCAAGGTAGAGCAGACAACGGGAAGCTCTGATGGCCAGGACCATGCTGGCCTGGGCAGAGCAAGATTCCACCTGGCCACATGGGTTAGTGGAAGAGCTTGGGCTTCTTGTCGTGCCTCTGTGCATGTCCCATGTACCTTCTGGGAGAAGCCAGTTTCCCCCTCTGAGTCCTGGGCTCAGTCCAGCAGGCCTAAGAGCCTCAGTGCCTGGGTGGTGTCGTGATCATCACCATCGTCACGCCTTCCACCCGCCTTACCTGATGCTCCGCTTAGCGGCATCGGGGTCCACGGCCAGCACTGAGCCGATCAGAGGTTTCTTCTGGTTCTCCCGCAGTTGGAAGTGGTAAAAGGGCTGCTGGAAGGTGGGGGGCTCGTCCACATCTGTGACGTTGATGATGACACGGGCGATGTTCTTGGTGGAGGTGCTGCTCAGGTAGCGGAGGTCGATGGTGGGGTCCGTGGCCTCGATGGTGAAGCTGTATTGCCGGATGCGTTCATAGTCCAGGGGCTGCGAAGGGAAAACTATGGTGAGCACTTGCTCTGAGCCAAGCACGGGGTTGTGATTTTCACAGCAACCCTGTGAGGTCATACTGGGATGACCCCCTTTTTACAGATGAGGGGCCTGTGGCCTGGCTGTCTTCAGCTGTCTCCCGTGTATCCTGACCGTGGCTCAGTTCCAGGTATTGAGGACAACCAGTGGGTCAGCCACAGTCTTGCTCTCAAGGGGACCACAGACTAGTGGTTCTACCCCCAGCTCCTTAAAGACATTGCTTTTCTTTGTGCCTTTGCTCAAGTCTCTTCTCCTGCCCTTGCCCGCTTGGCGTACTCCTATCCACCCCTCAGGAAGCCAACCTGAAGGTAATCAGATGCCCTCTCAGAACCCATTCCTGCCCCTCCCAACACAGGTAATTGCTCCCTGCCTGGGTACCCTTTATGTCTGTGTGTCTGTCCTCCCTACTGGCTGAGAGCTTTGGTACCGTGGAGGCCGTCTGACTCCCCTGGGTATACCTAGTCCCCAGCACAGGGCTGGACCAGAGAAGGACTCGGGAGAGGTCTGCTGGAGGAATGGCCTGGCTCAGGCAGAGGGGTTCTGGAGTGCCCCCTTTGAGGCAGGTCATCACTGGCCTTGCCTCCCAGTCCTCTGCATGGCCGTTCTGAAGCAGTTTGTGCCCCTGGCAGACCTTCCCTCCTCTTCTAGATTCAGCCAGTCCAACTGCTTTCTCAGCAGCAGCCACGGCCAGTGGCCGCCCCGTCCCCACGGCATTCACTATTTCCTTACATGCTGATGGCTTTCAGCTGCAAGCACTTGTAATCTTCCAGGGCTTTCCTGGCCCGTGCCCAGGGCAGATCAGAAAGTGCCAGGGAGGGGACTTCCCCGCTGGTCCAGTGGTTACGAATCCGCCTTCCAATGCAGGGGACGCAGGTTCGATCCCCGGTCAGGGAACTAAGCTCCCACATGCCACGGGGCAACTAAGCCCACGTGCCACAACTACTGATCTCCCGCTCTTCAACTAGAGAGCCTGTGTGCCGCAAACTACAGAGCCCACGCACTTAGGAACCCTCGCGCCACAGCTACAGAGCCCACGCGCCCTGGAGCCTGCACGCCATAACTAGAGAAGAGAAAACCCACACACCACAACTAGAGAGAAGCCCGCGGGCCACAATGAAGAGTCTGCATGCTGCAACTAAGACCTGATGTGGCCAAAAATAAATTAAAAATAAATAAATCTTTAAAAAAAAAGAGGAAGAAAGTGCTGGGGAGTGGGCCCCCAGGAGCCCTCAATCAGCCCACAGCTGCTGTGACTCTGAGGCATGTTCCATACTGTCCCCCAGATGTCCCCAGCGGGACTGCACCCCACTCGCCCATGGTGTTCACCTGCTCATTGAGGAGCCTGTATTAGCTCTCCTCCTTTTCACATCTCACTGCTCCTGGGGCTTCCTGAGATCACTCCCCAAGTAAACTATTTACACTCAAATCCTTGCCTCAAGGTCTGCTTCCGGGGTAGCCCAGCCTAAGGCACTGACCCTTCTGTCCTGGCTCCCCTTCCCAGCGCCAGGGTCAGAGTGTCCACGAGCACACGGCCAGCTCCAAACCGACCCAGAACGTGCACCTTTGGTGGCGTCTGATCCGGGAGCAACCCCTGGCTGAGTCCTGAGGAAGCCGGGAGCCCCCAACCCCACATCTGATGTCACTGCCACAGGCCTGCGAACCTTCATGGGCTTGATGATGCCCTCGTTGCGGCTGGGGTCAGGCTCGATGGTGAAGGTGTCCCTGTACTCGCCCTGCACGATGCTGTACTTTGTCTTCCGGTTCTGGGGCTCGTCTGGGTCCTCCACAAACAGAGAGCCCAGGGGGCTGCCCACACGGATGTCTTCGGGCACAGAAAATATGTACCTGGCTGATGCAAAGAGGCGCCCCAAAGGGCACTGGGTTAATGAGATAGATGAGGCGATCGTCCCCATACTAGCCCAATACATTTTGTTACAGGAAACGGGCACAATGAAATAGTAGTAGTAGTAATTCCTCTGGAACTTTGTGTCCCAAGGCAGAGAGGTTGTGCTCTGTCCTTCCGTCCACCTGACAGGTAGTTATTAAGCATCTGCTGTATGTCAGGCACCTTGCTGGGGGACCTATTCATTGACAGTTGAGAGAATCTCTGCCTTCAGGGAGCTTGTGCCGTGCACAAGGAGGCCACTTCAGGAGAACCCGCCTGTCCTTGGGGTGGCCGAGCCTCTGCGTGAGCCGTCAGCATTGGAGTCGCAAGTGATGAGTCATCTGACTTCCTCCCCAGCCCACCCAGGGCGTGTCAAAAGGGGAGAATCAGTCTGTGGATGGGTCAGAGCCCAGCCCTGGCTCTGGCTCTGGAGCTTTGCCGAACCCCTGTTCCCCAGCTCATGGGGATTTTCTAGCTGGGGTCTGGGTTTTCCTGAGCCCATGGGATCTGGGTGAAAGTGGTCCTATCTGGTAGTGGGACTCTGGGCACACGGTGGCACACAGCAGGGAGTGTGACTCCCTGCTGGCCTGTGAGGGCTCCGTGGCAGGGGCAGTTGGACAGCCTTGGGAACGTGTTCATAGATGGGGAACACCGGAAAGATGCCCCTGACATAGGCCCGCCCTGGGTTGGAGAGAGAGGTAGACAGATGCCAGGATCCTCTCTGAGAGCTCCTGGGTCACCGAGCCTGGAGTATCCCAACCCTCGCCCTGCCCGGGGCCCTAGGGGAGGGGCTCACACTGTGTGAAGATGGGGAAGTTGTCGTTGACGTCCTGCAGAGAGATCAGCACGGTGGCCGTGCCCGATTCCCCCCGGAGGCCCTGGGCGTCTCGTGCTTCCACCACAATCTCGTACTTGGCCTGCTTCTCTCGGTCCAGGTTTTTGTTCGCTGTGACAATTAGTCCTGCAAAAAGTGTCACATCAGGAGCCGTGTTACTTGGGGAGCTTTTAAAAAATAGTGATGCCCGGCCGCTACCCATAGGGCACCTGGCTTCAGAGCTCCCCAGGTGATTTCACTGTGCAGCCAGGACTGAGGGCCAGGGGTGAACCACCTTCCACCTCCATGCCCTGCACTGCTAGGCCAAACGCTTTGGTCCAGTATTGGTCCCAGCCACCTGGAGCACTGGGTTGAGCAGGAACCTGAGGCCACATCTAGGCTCAGAGTGGGAAGAGTGCTGTGCTGGGTTAGCGATGGCTGCCTTGGGGCCGCGTAGGTTGTGCTGTGTGTTTGCCATCACTCTGAAAGATGGCTTGCCTCAGGCCTGACCACCTGGACTGTGCTGTGTGTTTGTGTTGTGCTGTGTGTTTGCCATCACTCTGAAAGATGGCTTGCCTCAGGCCTGACCACCTGGACTTCTGTCTTGCTCCCAAGACTCAGTCCTTACAGTTTTTTGGGTCACGTGGAGTGGCTAATGACGATGGGCCACGTGCTCATTAGACGTTACCTAATTCAGACTTCACACCTACTGTACAAGGTGAATATAAGCTTCCCCAGTTTTGAGATTAGGGCCCTAGCTCTCACAGAGGTCAGTTGACTTGCCCAAGGTCTTGAGAAGCAGTGAGGAGCAGAAATGGGTTCTGAAACCAGATCCATTTGATTCCATAGCTGGAGGTGCTAACCGGCATTCTCTTCCACCTCTCGTGTCAGTGCTTGGGTCCTGACTTTGTCCCCTGGACTTGAACCTGAGTTCACGTCTCGGGCACCTGTCTGCCTCCTTCTGCCCTCACCAGCCACCTTGTCTTGACGTAGGGTACCGACTGCCTCCAAAGGGTGGTGTAGGTCAGTGGTCAGTGACACCTGGCAGACTGGGCTTCCCTCCGTGCCTGCACCTCCACCCCCTCCAAGCCAGTGCCGCCCCCGGGGGGGTTAGTCACACAGACCGGAACCACGGATGCTGAAATGTTCTTCTCCCTTCAGGAGTTGGTACACGACAGAGGCGTGGTCTGCCACAGTGGGGTCATCTGCATCCATTGCTGTCAGCTGGATGACCGAGGTCCCTGTGGGGAGAGAACCCAGGGTTGCTGCTGTGCGATGGCCAGCCCCTCACCCCAGCCCCAGGGGCTCAGGCTGTTCCCTGAACCCCCCTCCCCCAGGTCCTGAGGGAGAAAAGGCTGCTTTGTTTTCTGAGGAGCCTGCCTGGGGGCAAAGTGCTGGCAGTGGTGGAGGCCCCGCTCAGTCAAACATGAAGGGCAAAGAGAACAGGTGGTTTTCATTTATGGGGGAAATGAGGGAAGAGGTGAGTGGCTGAGGTCATGGGGAGAAACAGTAAGGGCTGCTTCTTCCTTCTGGAAGCATGAGAACAAGAGAATAGGAAGGGCCCCCGAAGGGCTGGGTTCACATCTCCTTCCCCTTGAACTCCAGGCTCCCCATACTTAACGGGAAGGTCTGGTCCCAAGACCTGGCAAGAGAGCCTGGACTAAGGGCTGGGGAAGGGAGCCCTTTTCTGGCACCCCCTGGAGGCTGGGGGTAGAATTGAGGAAGGAATAGTCTCCTCTGGAGGCCTGGGGTCCAGGCTGCTGACACACCTTGGGATGAGGTGTGTCCCTCTCCCGCCCCCCTCCACTCCTGTATGGACCCCAAAGGTGACTCCTTGTCTTGGTGGAAGAGTTGGCCTCCTTCATGTGCAAAGGCTACGCTCTTGGCATGCCAGCTCTGAGAGTCAGAGCAGTGGGTGGCGTTGGCTCCAAAGAGTAACAAGACGTGTGTGTGTGTGTGTGTGTGTGTGCGTGAGTGACGGTCAGGACTCCGTCTGGGGCCAGGTCAGAGCTTAGTCTTTAGGGACCAGAGTTCCTTTCGAGTCATATAAAGTGGCAATATGGGCATCCCCATAGCCGCCCGGAACTCACTGAATCCTGCCCCAGGCAGTGAAGCTGCCGATGGGAGAGGGGCCTCCATGCCAGGGATGAGCGAGGGGAGAGGGAGACAGACAGACCAGGTGCGTACCTATCCCTGACATCTCGGGCACGGAGGCATTGAACACCCGGTGTGTGAACACAGGCCAGTTGTCATTGATATCGTGAACTTTGATGGTGAAGCTGGAAGGAGACTCCAGGTTCTTCTCGGTGTTCTTGTCCACCACGAGGGCGATGAGGTGGTACTCAGAGATCTTCTCCCTGTCCAGCCTCTCAAAGGCATACACGTCCCCTGTGCTCTCATCAACCTGGAAGACCTTGCCGGCAGACTCTCCTTTGAGCTGGTACTTGGTGTTCTTGCGGTTCACGCTTGATTTAATCTAGGAAAGGAGAGGCGCCGTGAACTGGAAATAGCAGTGGTGGCTGTGTGCATGTGAGTGTGTGCCCGTGTGAGTGTGCCCGGGGCATGGCATTGTTAAAAAAAATCAATTATATAAACTTACAATTAAATGAATCATATTAAAAACAGAGGTAGGGGCTTCCCTGGTGGCGCAGTGGTTGAGAGTCCGCCTGCCGATGCAGGGGACGCGGGTTCGTGCCCTGGTCCGGGAAGATCCCACATGCTGTGGAGCGGCTGGGCCCGTGAGCCATGGCCGCTGAGCCTGCGCGTCCGGAGCCTGTGCTCCGCAACGGGAGAGGCCACAACAAGTGAGAGGCCCGCGTACCGCAAAAACAAACAAACAAAGGTAACGTACTATAAATCTATTGCTTCCTAATACTGTAATTTTACTACATTTTACTATGTTCTCTTGAGTTTTTTAAAAAACTTTTTTATTTTTTACATCTTTATTGGAGTACGATTGCTTTACAGTGATGTGTTAGTTTCTGCTTTATATCGAACTGAATCAGCTATACATATACATATATCCCCATATCTCCTCCCTCTTGTGTCTCCCTCCCACCCTCCGTATCCCACCCCTGTTCTTGAGTTTTTATGTTGATCGTATTAAATGATGGAAATATTGGATAAGGCTGTGTTAATGCACATCTGTTCCCAACTCTGCCTTCAGTGGAATCGAGTTGGTAGTTTGCAACAGACATGGTGAAAGTGTTTATACCAAGGAAATTGGTAAATGCTACAAACAGGATCTTTTCCCCTCAAAAGCCAGTTGTCAACTATTTATCAGCACATCACTGGTCTCAGTCATTTAGTTTTCGAATGGTGCATAAAATGTTCTCTTTTTGGAGATTTACAACATATAGTTCTGCAGGAAAGAACTCTACTGAGCTTTGTTTAACTCAGGATTTCCTATACTTGTTAGACCACTGAATCCTTTTCCTTTGTTACACATACTATTAGTGTCCTTAGGAATAAGACTTGGAAAATAATGTGTGTAAAGCACTTTGCACAGGCTCTCAATAAATGCTAGTTGTTATTCACACCAGATGCCTACATTAAAGGGTATTAGAAGTTTAGAATTGCTGAACATTTCATTTATGGAATCTTGGAAACAGAGGCTATTAGGAACATAAGCTAATCATATTTCATACATGTCTAATGGTCCTCCCATAGGTGGTTAGGATGTTCAAATAATAGAGTTCAATAAAGTAAAAGAAAAAAATCAGATGCCTACAAGGTGCCAGCCTGGGAGCATAAAGATAGTCCAGACCCCATTCTTTCTCTCAGGGCCTGGTTTGAAGCAGCAGAGGCTGAGATTTTGAGGAAGGGCAGCATTTAAGGGTCAGTTGGAACAAGAGCCTTGAGTGAAGGTGTTGCATCAGAAAGGCTGGAGGAGAACCCGAGAGAGAGTGGGGTCTCAGGACAGAAGAGGGAGCATCAAGATGGGTGTGGTCAGGTCCCACGAGGTCTGGAAAGCATCCCTAGGCTTAGCAGCGGTGCAGTCATCGGAGCCCTTGGTGAGAGCAGCGTTAGGGGTGGTGGATCGAGAAGCCGGATGACAGGGCTTTATTATTATTATTATTATTATTATTATTATTATTTTGCGGTACGCGGGCCTCTCACTGTTGTGGCCTCTTCCGTTGCGGAGCACAGGCTCTGGACGCGCAGGCTCTGCGGCCATGGCTCACGGGCCCAGCCGCTCTGTGGCATGCGGGATCTTCCCGGACCGGGGCACGAACCCGCGTCCCCTGCATCGGCAGGCGGACTCTCAACCACTGCGCCACCAGGGAAGCTCCTGGGTGACAGGGCTTTAGAGAAGAGTCTGGGAGGTGAGGAAGTGGGGACAGGGAGTGAGGCTCCTCCCCCTTGGTGGGCGGGGCGGGAGAGAGGTGAGGCTGTAGCTGGAGGTAGTGAGGAAGCATCCTGGAGCAGGGCTGCGGGTGTGCAGGGGCAGATGGTTCGTGGGGAGGTCCCGAAGCCCAGTGGCCGGGACATACGATGAACAGATGGGCAGGAGGCAAGAAGTGATGCGCCAGCGCCGGAACCTGTGACTTGGGCGGGAGGACAGTGGGGGTCAAGAAGGAGGGACAGTCTGGGGCCCTGTATGAGTTACTCAGGATTAGGGTAGGATGGTCATTCCAAACCTGGTTCTGGTGCATTAGGTTTCATGTGGGCAGGGGTAGCAAGGGGGTGTGAGTCAGCTTTGATCTGTTACTGGAATTCTGTCTGAGATTGCATTTCACTCACACCTAAACATCTTTGATAATTTCTCAGTATCATCAAATAAATAGTGTTAAGAAGATTTCATTTGGATATGAGTTTCTGTTTTCCTTCCCTCCAACTTTTCTCAAATAGACTTTATATTTTAGAACTGTTCCAGATTTATAGAAAAATTGAGGTGATAGTACAGAGAGTTCCCGTACATCCTGTGCCCAATTTCCCTGTTATTAACATCTTACATTAGTATGGTACATTTGTTGTAATTAATGCACCAATATTGATATATTATTATTAACTAAAGTTCATATTTCGTTCAGATTTCCGTAGTTTTTACCTAATGTCCTTTTTCTGTTTGAGGATCCCACCCAGGATACCACATTACCTCTAGTTGTCATGTTCCTTTAAGTTACTCTTGGCTGGGACAGTTTCTCAGATTCTCCATGGTTCTTTTTTTTTTTTTAATTGAAATATACTTTATTTACAATGTTGTGTTAGTTTCAAGTGTATAGCAAAGTGATTCAGTTATATATATATATGTGTATATATATACAAGTATACATATATATTCTTTTTCAGATTCTTTTCCATTATAAATTATTGCAAGATACTGAGTATAGTTCTCTGTGATGTATGGTAGGTCCTTGTTGTTTGCCTGGTTTATATATAGTAGTGTGTAGATGTTAATCCCACTCCCCCCACTATCCTCGTTGGTAACCATAAGTTTGTTTTCTTTGTCCGTGAGGCTCTGCTTGTTTTCGACGACCCTGAGAGTTTTGAGGAGTGCTGGTTGGGTGTTTTGTAGGATGCCCCCTATTGGAATTTGTCCGATGTTTTCCTCACGATCAGACAGACTGAGGTTATAGGTTTGGGGGGGCCTCCCCTTTTTTAACTTATCCCTATATTTGGATATAACATCTTAATGCCAGAAGCTCTGCTGACCCCTGTCTGTGGATTCAGAAGGCCACTCCGCTCCCATTGTCCGGCAAACAGCTCTGTAAACAAAGGCTCCTGGCTCTGATCTTGGTAAACAGGGACTTCCTTCCCTCCGATGACGTCTTTGGAGCCAGGAGGTGATCCTTGGAGCCCTGTCCTTGCCTCTCCCAGACACCGTGCTTCTTCCCAGGGTGGGGACTGCACGGGACCCTCTGTCCCCACGCCAGGTGCCAAGTGCACGCTGTTGGCAGGGGACGGCAGGCCCGAGGCTCTTTGTGCTGCGCAGAGGCCTTCGGGCGAGCCGTCCGAGGCCTGCCGTGTCCGGGCTGGGCGGCGCGCCGGCGGCCCTGCTTGCTGACTGGCCTTGACTCAGCCCGTGGGTATTTGTTGGGGGGCAGCCATTCTCTCTGGAGGCTGATTCACGGCACACTCACCCCCTTGGGAAGGGGTAGATGGGCCGATGGCATTTTCCTCTAGGGCACAGAGTTCACATCGGTGTTGGGAGTCAGGAACCCTGTGCTTTCCTAGGGCTCTATCCTGGTTTCACTGTGTGACCCTGGGCAAGCGCCTTCCCCTCTGAGTGGCCAGACTGAAGGATCTGAATTTCCCAGCCATTCTTGGTGGCCAGAGGAGGCCTGGGCACAGTGAGCAGTGGAGAGGGCCGTGGGCAGGGCTGTGAGCGTAGATTCCCCAGCTGGCTCCACCGCCAGCTGCCATGGCATTTCTGGTGCTGAGGCCAGACTTGACCCTTCCCCATCTAGGGGTCCTTTCTGGCCTGTTTCTCTATAACCATAGGGCTCCCCCATCTCCAGCATGTGTGGGGTTCTTTGTCTGATACATGCTGCCCTTCTAGGCCAGAGTGGGCAAACTGTTTCTGTAAAGGGCCAGATAGTAAAAATTTTCGACTTTGTGGGTCATATGGTCTTTGGGACAATTACTCAAATCTGCCATTGTAGCATGAAAGCAACCACGACCATTTGTTAATTGCACGGCGTGGCTCTGTTCCAATAAAACTTTATTTACAAAACTGCATGGCGGGGCAGTTCTACCAGCCCCTATTTATGTATTTATTTATTTAATTGAAGTATAGTTGATTTACAGTGTTGTGTTAGTTTCTTGTGTACAGCAAAGTGATGTATATGTGTGTGTGTGTATACATCTTTTCCATTATAGGTTATTACAACCTACGGAATATAGATCCCTGTGCTATGCAGTAGGTCCTTGTTGATTATCTGTTTTATATATAGTAGTATGTATACGTTAATCCCAAACTCCTAATTTATCCCTCCCCTGCTTTCCCCTTTGATGATCGTAAGTTTGTTTTCTATGTCTGTGAGTCTGTTTCTGTTTTGTAAATAAGTTCATTTGTATCATGTTTTTAGATTTGACATATAAGAGGTATCATATGATATTTGTCTTTCTCTGTCTGACTTACTTCACTTAGTATGATAACCTCTGGGTCCATCCATGTTGCTCTAAATGGCAAGATTTCATTCTTTTTTATGGCTGAGTAATATTCCATTATTTATAGGTACCACACCTTCTTTATGCATTCATCTGTTGGTGGACACTTAGGTTGCTTCCACGTCTTGGCTATTGTAAATAGTGCTGCTATGAACATTGGGGTTCGTGTATCTTTTTGAATTAGAATTTTCATATTTTCTGGATATATGCCCAGGAGTGGGATTGCTGGCTCATATTGTAACTCTATTTTTAGTTTTTTAAGGAACCTTCATACTGTTTTCCATAGTGGCTGCACAAATTTACATTCCCACCGACAGTGTAGGAGGGTTCCCTTTTTTCCACTCCCTCTCCAGCATTTATTATTTGTAGACTTTTCGATGACAGCCATACTGACTGCTGTGAGGCAATACCGCATTGTGGTTTTGATCTGCATTTCTCTAATAGCGGTGTGGAGCATCTTTTCATGTGCTTGTTGGCCATCTGTATGGCTTCTTTGGAGAAATGTTTGTTTAGGTCTTCTGCCCATTTTTGATTGGGTTGTTTGTTTTCTTGATACTGAGCTATATGAGCTGTTCATATATTTTGGAAATTAAGCCCTTGTCAGTCACATCATCTGCAGATATTTTCTCCCAGTCTATAGGTTGTCTTTTTATTTGGTTTATCGATTCCTTTGCTGTGCAAAAGCTTATAAGTTTGATTAGGTCCGTTTGTTTATTTTTGCTTTTATTTCTTTTGCCTTGGGAGACTGACCTAAGAAAACATTGCTGTGATTAATGTCAGAGAATGTTTTGCCTATGTTCTCTTCTAGGAGTTTTATGGTATCATGTCTTACATTTAAGTCTTTAAACCATTTTGAGTTTGTTTTCGTGTATGGTGTGAGGGAGTGTTCTAACCTCACTGATTTACATGTGGTCAGCCCCTATTTTAGACCACAAGCTCCATGAGGGTGTGGACCATGTCTGTCTTTGCCCCCTGACCATGTCCCAGAGCCCAGCCTTGTGCTTGGGACCATAATTCCTCTCACCGGTACACTGATCTTTCTTTAGCTGACCCTGCTTAGCTTCCAAGAAACTGACGTGGTGAGATTTTAAAGCACTGGAAAGGAATTTTTCTCCTCACTGAAAACTCTTGAAATACCTAATCCATCTCCCTGTCGTTGTGTGTGAAATTCCACCACTAGAGCCATTCCTTTCTTTTTTTTTTTTTTTTTGGTACGCGGGCCTCTCACTATTGTGGCCTCTCCCGTTGCGGAGCACAGGCTCTGGACGCGCAGGCTTAGCGGCCATGGCTCACGGGCCCAGCCGCTCCGCGGCATGTGGGATCTTCCCGGACCGGGGCACGAACCTGTGTCCCCTGCCTGCATTGGCAGGTGGACTCTCAACCACTGCGCCACCAGGGAAGCCCCTAGAGCCATTCCTTTCAATTAGAGTGTACGGTTTTGACCTCAGCGACCTTTTGACACAGGAAGATAGTTCATTAGTCCCTCAGATTAGCTCCAAGCTCTAGGAAGGTGACTGAGGATGGACACGTTTTAAATGGGATGAAATGAGGGTTTAGAGTCGTAGGCACCGCCCTGGAGGGCAGGCTTGGGTCAAGTGCCTTGTTATGGGTGTCCTAGGATCTGGAGCTCATAACGCCCTAGACGCTAGGGCAAAACACCCTGAGAGACAGGGCTTCCTGAGGAGGTTCAAAGGCCTCGACTAGAGATGGCAAACCGTGGCCTGGATGATGAGCTGTGTCATCAGCACAGCTCTGTAGAAGTCTGCTCAGGTCTTCCAGACCTCTCAGATGCGCACAGTTAATGGCAGCCTTGGCTGGTCCTGCCCTGAGCCCTGAGCCCCCACGCTAGGCTGCCTGCCTTAGCTTGTGCACGGGGTGGCCCTTCTGCCAGTGATACTCACTCCATAGTCCAAAGTCTGCGAGAAAGATGAACCATTGTGCTCACCATTACTTCCACCACCACCACCACCACCTCCACCTCCACGATCATCATCGTCATCACCACCACCACTGCTATTACCACCACCACCTTCTCCTTGGCTATCACCATAGTCACCACCACCATGACATCTGCCACCTCCACCATCTCTCCCACTATTACCATCACCCTCGCAACGATCATCCCCATCCCTGCAACCACCACAGCACCTGTCACTGTCTTTATCATCACCACCACCACGGCACGCCTCTCCCGCTCTGGGGCCTGAGCCTTACCTTGCCCACATAGTGGGGCAGTGAGCCGTTTTTCTCTTCATCGATGTGCATCTGGTTCCAGATCCAGTCTCTCTTCTGGCGCCGGTGAATGGGCAGCGAGCTGGGGGGGTTGGGTTGGTCAGGTTTGACGGCCGCTGCAGCTAGCAGGCCCAGGCAGGTGCCCCCTGCAGCCAGCAGCATCACGAACACCTGCATCTTCCCGGGACGGACGGCTCTGAGGGACGAGGAGAGAGACCATCAGGGAATGTGGGGTGCGAGCATCTCCTGGGGAGCACTGAACTGTTTAACCCTTCATCCTTCACTCTCTGCTCAGACTAGCAGAACCACACCCTCTTCCCCCGTGGAGCTCCTAGTCTGGGAGGGGAAGCCAGACACAGAAACAATTCCTACTTAAGGGTCACATGTGCTATTGGGCAAGCAAGCATGGACGACAGGGGAGGCTAGAGGAGAGCTGTAGGGAAGGTTTCCTGGAGGAGAGAGCAATGCTGATGTGGATGGTAGCTCCCAAAGCCTTGTGCAGTGGACACCCAGCTTGGATTTTACAGACGGGGAAACTGAGGCACAGAGAAGTTAAGTTCATGGTGGAGTAAATGGTGAGGCTGAGAATACAGCCCAGGTGTCTGACCTCAGCAGCTGACATTTATCAATAAGTGTCATCAATAAGTATAATAAGTACCAAAAAATAAACATCAATAACTATTGAATGCCTGACACTCTTCCAAGCACTTTATCTGTGTTATCGCACTTAATCCTCCCAGTCAGCCAGAAGGTGGGTATAACTGTGGCCCTCACTTTATAGATGAGCAGAGGAAGAGAGAGATCACCCAGACGGGAAGCCTCAGAGTCAAACTCAAACCAAGTCGGCCTGGCCCCAAAGTTCATGCTTCTTCCTACTGCCCTCTCTTGACCTAGCAGCTGCTGCGTGGTGGGATTTAAAGACTCCTCTGAACAAACATGCCCCCTGGCTAGTCCGAGAGCCCCTGGGGCAGCGTTGCTTTGATGTTGTCTTCAGAAGGCTCTTAAGAAACCCAAATGTGGTGACCGAGAGGGCCAGGCCCTCACCAGACGCAGCGCTCACAGTTGGTGATTAGCTTAGGAGCTGTCACGAGAACAGGGGTGGGATGGGGTGCTGGGTAGAGAGGCTGGGCTCGCAGGACCAACTTCATAGTTTGTGGGGCGTAGTATAGAATGGAAACATGGGGTCCTTTTCTCAAAAGTTACTAAGAATTTCAGGACAGAGACGGAAGAACGTGAAACCCAGCACGGGGTCCTTTTAAGCACAAGACCCCATGTGATTGCCCCCATGAAAGCAGCCCTTGGGACATGGGATCAACCTGGATGGGGATCTGGGGTCACCCAGAGATCAGGGCCCGGCTTCATCCTGAATTCCAGAAGGAAGAGGGCTTGTCTCACTGCCCCAGGGTGGGTAGAGGCTGTGACCTCGGCTGTCACTATGCCCTCTCAGCCCTTGACCCCATCAGTCTACCCTTGCTGGTCCCTGTGTCACTGACCTGTGGCTCCGGGGATGGTTCAGAGGAAGAAGGCTGGTGGGTGGGAGTGGGAGTCAGAATCGGGGCTCCTGCCTGGAGAGAGGCAAGGGCCCACTGGGTGCTGGGTGGGAGGCCACCTCCCTGGCTGTCGCCCGCCCTTGCCGCAGGGAGAAGCTGGATTCTGCACAGCACAGGAGGTTTCTAAACTCTAGTAACATTTCCTCTGAGACACTGGCGCCAGGCTGTCCTCAGTGAGGGCCGGGGGTGTGTGTGCAGACTGGCCTCTGGGCCTGCTGAGCTTAGCATCCAGCATCCCTGTGGCCCCCAGCTGCTGGCCCAGGCAGAAGTGGGCTCGCAGGGTTTGGCTGGGACAGAGCATTAGCCGGGCCTGGAACGCAGGTGCCATGTGCCTGGGAAGGCTTCCGGTCCCAGTTCCCTCAGTCCTCAATGAGGTGGTCAGACTGGAGGAGACCTGGTGCCCTTTGAGGTGGGCTGTGAAAAGGGCAGCTGCTCTGGGCCGGAGGAAGGCAGTGAACAAAGGCTCAGGGAGCTGAGAGTTCTGCCAGGAAGCTGGTCCTGACTCAGGGGAGGTGGCAGCTGTGACCCCTGGCCAGCCTCGCTGGGCTCAGGCCCGCTGGGTCATTTCCTTCTTTGCCTCGAAAGGAACTGCATGTCTTGCTCCCTTCTTCCTCCCTCAAGTGAGAAGTGACTCAAAAAATGAAAAAGTAAAACAAATAGAAGTGAAACTGAGAAATGGGGAGAGAGAAGTTCTCAAGCCCCTGGGCAGGACAAGATAGGAGGCCGCACCCTGAGTGGATGCGTATTGAGCATCTGCTGTGTGCTAGGCTTTGGGGTGCAGCAGTGAGCGGGACAGACAGGACCTGTCCCCGGGGAGTGCACGCTGTCGTGGGAACCCCAGGAAAATAAGTACATGGGGAAAAGCATCAGGTGCTGATCAGAGGCTCTCAGGGAATTACACTGGGGGACACAGCAGAGGGCGAGGGGGCAGCTGGCTGAGACTTCAAGGCCAGGGGAGGCCTTTCAGAGAGATGATACTCATGCCAACATCGGAGTGTCAGCCCTAGAAATGCCAGGGGAAGGGAGGGTATTCCAGGCAGAAGGATCGGCAAGTGCAAAGTCCCTGAGGTAGAAAAATGGTTTGTTTGTTTGAAGAACCAAAAGAAGGCCCTTGGGTCAGATGAGCAATGGGGGCTCCAGAAGAGGGGACCAGGTCGGGCTGGTAGGCTGAGTGACAGCCCCCCAAAGGTGTCCACGTCTTCACCCCTGGAACCTGTGAATATTACCTTCCCTGGCAAAGGACTTTCAGCAGATAGGATTAAGTTAAGGATCTTGAAACAGGGAGATTATCCTGGACTACGTGGATAGACCCAGTACAATCACAGCGTCCTTAAAAGATGAAGGCAGGAGGGTCAGAATCAGGAGAAAGGAGACGTGATGATGGAAACAGAGGTTGGGGTGCTGCGGGGCCCCAGGCAAAGGAACGGGGGCGGCCTCTGGAAGTCAAAAAAGGCACGGAAATAGATTCTCCCCTAGAGGCTCTAGAAGGAAACAGTCCTGATTCTCACCCACCGAAACCCATTTCAGACTTCAGACCTCCAGAACTATAATAAATAACTAAATTGGTGGTGTTTCACGCCAGCCACCTTTGGGGTGGTTTGTTACAGCAGCTGGAGGAAACTAATGCAGTTGGGTTGTACAGGGCAGCCTAGAGAGAGCTTTTTCCTAAGCACGAGGGAAGGTGACATGATCTGATTTGAAGAGATCCCTGGCTGAGGTGAGGAGACGGGCTGGGAGAGAGGGGAGACCAGCAGGGGAGGTCACTGTCATCCAGGCGAGAGTTGATGGTGGCCCAGAGCAGGTGTAGAGGTGCGTGGCCATGGGATGTGTTTTCGAGGTGGAGTTAACAGGACTTGCTGTGAATGGAATGTAGGGGGTGAGGGATGGAGAGGAATCTAGGATGGCTCTCGAGTCTTTGGCCTGAGCAGTTGGGGGGGCAGGGCTTTGCTGAGGTTCGGAAGACGGGTAGTGGTACCAAAAGGTCTGTGTGGGCTGCGTCAGGTTGGAGTTGCTATGAAACGTCTCTGTGGCCATGGCCAGCAGCTGCCGGAGACCTGGCCTGGAGTGCGGGAGAAGGTGGGGCTGGGGCAGCTTACAGACGGTCCCTTCCCAGGGCTGGTGCTCAAACTGTGAGGCTGGAACATGAAGGAGGGCAGGTAGCGAGGGAGGAGAAGTGGCCCAGGACAGCCCCATAGGTCTTTCCTCTTTCTCTGTCTCACGAACTTGTCATCCAGGATTAAGCCCAAATGTCCTCCTCTGGGGAGCCATCCCTGGTCCTCACCTTGCACCTCATGCATCCCTGGGCATCTTCCACTGCAGCACTGCCTGGGGCTGGTCCCAGGGTTGACACCCAGGTCCCATTGCTGGGCTCAAATCACAGCTTCCTTCCCTTCCTGGAGAATGGCTTTCTCCCTGCCCTGTCTACATCTTCCCTTTTCCCCAAGGCCCAGCCACACCTGACACATGGCTCTCTCCTCTTTGGGTTCACACAGAGCAGGGTGACGGCTGTGATTGCAGGGTCTGTGGTTTAGAGAACGTCAGTTGTGCTGCTTTGCCACTCTGTGACTGTGCGCGAGACGCTTCACCTCTCTGAGCCTCAGTCTCATCATCTGTACAATGGGAACACTAGTGTCTACCTCTCAGGGTTGTTTTCAGGCCTGAATTTAAAAAAACATTTGTAACATGGCCAAAAAAGTAGCTAAGAATAAAACCAAGCATGTACGAATCCTCGCCGACACTCTGTTTTGCTCTACTGAGTAGTTAGCTTACCATTCTTGTTCCTGAACACCCAACCATTTGGTTGGGGGATTTGCAGGTCCCCACCCTGCTGAATCTACTCCCCCACCCCTCCTCTGACCTCTGCTCTGTATCAAGGGGACTGACCCTTGGCCTGCAGGCGCGGGGTTCTGGTGTTTGGCCAATGGGGGCTCTAGCAGGCATCTGAGGATGGGAGGAGAAAAGCTGGGCCACGTCCTCCCTGCTGCTGTCTGCTCTGGTTCATTTGTACTGCTGTGGCTGCACCTCTCCATCCCGTTAGCTTCTGTGGCTCCCATCCGTCTCTCACTGGGTTCGGGAAACACCCTTCCCTCCTCTTTGTCCCTTTGGTCCTGCGGTGGTCTGCTGCTGGTTTCTGCAGGACTCAGCATCCCGTTTGTTCCCTTGACTGAGCTCACAGCTCTGTAAGTGTTTCCTTCATAAAGTCTCTTCTTTGAAACGCCTCCTCAGTGGCACACTGAAACCTTATCTCACTTAAATCTTGCAAACTGCCAGGTAGTTGTCAGTGATCCCATTTTGCAGATGAGGCTCAGAGAGGTGGAGTGAGCCCTGCTGGGTCACACAGTGGCGAGTGGTTGAGCCAGGATTTGAACTCAGGCTGCCTTTCACCCCGAATAGTGCCTTTCCATCATGCCACTCTCTCTCTATTTCTGCGGTGACATTAACATGTAATAATAATAATAATGGTAGTAATAATAGTAATGATAAGCAGCTGTTCTCCATGTTTGGCTTGCATAGATGAAATCTCATTTAGTTTTCACACGTCCTCAGGATGTAGGAATTATCGTCCCCCTTTCACAGAGGAAGAAACTGAGGCTCAGACACAAACACCTCGTAAGTGGTAGATCTGGAACCCTCACCCAGATTTATC